AGCTTTCTCCAGCTCAAAAGGAAGCAGTGAAAATAAGACCTCGCACCACAGCATCGGGGAACTGGGTGAGGCAAAAGTGAACATTTCCAAATAACAAGGACTTTTTGCATGGAAAGAAAGTCTACCAAGGGGAGGCCAGTGGGTCTCTTACACAGGGGCAAGATGGGGAAACAGGTCAGAAGGGGGACAAGGTGCAGATGGGTGAGGTTACCTCGTGGTACCCTGCAAGTCAGTAGCTATTCCACTCAGGTTCCTTTTCCACCTCACTTTCTTTGAGGCAGCTTTCAGGATGTGCCAAGCAGCCGAGGTTGAGTAAGAACCCAGAGCCCATTCAGACCTAATTATTTCTTCCTTCTGACTCTTTAACCCTGCCCAGACCACCCTGGAGCTGGCTCTTGTGCTACCTCGATGTGCGATGGCAGTTAAGAAAAAATAATAATAACCTCCCCGTACCCCCCAAATAAAACAAAACACCAGAACACAGGAGTTATATAAACACTGGCATGGCACTCCGCTATTTCAAAATAACTGCAATACTGTATTTCATTAAACAGTAACTAAGGCTGAGAATGCAAATAAAAACCAACAGCCAACATAGTCTGATGACTCAAGCAGGGAAGAACTTATTTGTTTGTAAATGTCCGATTCACCCCATCACAAATGACCCCACAAGTAGCCGATGAAAAGAATGGTCAAGTGTAAGCCCTTCCAGAGAAATCCCATAAGGGGGCTGCCAGCAGTTCCTTTTTCTTAGAAATAATGGCCAATCATATTAAGTAGAATAACAAAAAAAATCAGAGTTCAGCTCCCGCATTAAAACTAGGTCACTCTCAACCTGAGCAGGCTGTGTGTGACAGATACTCGCCCTCCACCTGGTGATCACAGCACACCTGATTAACAACCTGCGGGGATGGGTAAAAATTCCATTCAGCTTCCACTCATGAGTTTCCAGATGCTTCCACCCTCCCACTACCGACAGGGAGAAAATTAAAAGATTAAAGAGGTAATATTTTTAATAGGGTTTGGGACTGCTTCCCCTTCACACAGGCTGAGCAGCTTCTGCAGTTCCTCCACCCTCCCTGACACTTCGCATGAAGGCCTTGGGAAATGCGTTGCTATTTGTGGGGCCCCCGCCTCCCCACTGCTCAGGTTCTGTTGTTCCACCCCAAGGACCATTCCACAGAGGTGGAAACGAACAGCCTGGGGGGGGGGGGGGGGAGAGAGGCTGTCCAGGAGCCCTGCGATGTGCCAGGTGTCCCCTGGAAAAGGCTGCGGGGGGGGGGGGGGCCTCCAAGGGAACTAGGTTTCAATGAAGTCTGTAAGCCCTTTTGAATACCTTCTTGTCTCCTGGTCTCTCTGTTTTACTGCTTCCTCTCTTCCTTCTTGATAATCTTATCATAACTCCTGTCAGGAAGTGACCTTAAAACCAATTCCTGCAAAGGTCCCACTTTTAAAGAATATGATCTGGCTCCCTGCTGTAGTGTAAGTGTCTGGTAGAAGATGGGGGCCCCATTCTGTGACCAGTTTAAGGATTTGATTTACCCCAGAACAAGGGTCACAGAGAGCGCACAGAACAAGGAGGGGGAGGGAGAGTGGGGAAGTGGTGAGAGCAGGAGAAAGCAGGAGCCTGTGCAGATGAGCATAAACACTAAAGGGGGTGGGAGAGGCGGAGCCTGTGCAGATGAGCATAAACACTAAGGGGGGTGGGAGAGGCGGAGCCTGTGCAGATGAGCATAAACACTAAGGGGGGTGGGAGAGGCGGAGCCTGTGCAGATGAGCAGAAACACTAAGGGGGTGGGAGAGGCGGAGCCTGTGCAGATGAGCATAAACACTAAGGGGGGTGGGAGAGGCGGAGCCTGTGCAGATGAGCAGAAACACTAAGGGGGGTGGGAGAGGCGGAGCCTGTGCAGATGAGCAGAAACACTAAGGGGGGTGGGAGAGGCGGAGCCTGTGCAGATGAGCATAAACACTAAGGAGGTGGGAGGGGCGGAGCCTGTGCAGATGAGTATAAATACTAAGGGGGGTGGGAGAGGCGGAGCCTGTGCAGATGAGCAGAAACACTAAAGGGGGTGGGAGAGGCGGAGCCTGTGCAGATGAGCATAAACACTAAGGGGGGTGGTAGGTGGGACATGCCAGAGCAAAGATGGACCTTGAAGACTTCATGCTAAGTGAAGTGAGCCAGTTACAAAAGGACAAATACTGCGTGATCCCACTCATATGAGGAACTTAGAGTGCCCAAATTCACAGAAGCAGAAATTAGAAGAATGGTTGCCAGGGCTGCGGGGAGGCAGGGGATTGAATGGACACGGAGTTTCCACTTGGGAAGATGAAAAAGTTCTGGAGGTGGATGGTGGCGATGGCTGCACAACAGTGTGAAGGTACTTAATGCCACTGGCCAGTAAGCTTAAAAATTAGTAAAATGGTCAGTTTCATGTTATATATATCTTACAATGAAACAATGTTTCAGGTATGGGGCAGGGAGCAGTGGTAGAACAGTTAGCTGTGTAGAAGGCCGCGTCTGGCAAGAAGCACACTCAATGTCACTCTGAATTCAGGGGCTGGGGCCAGGGCTAAGGTGGGGCCAGCTAGGCTGCCAGGCTTCTCTAGGAAGTGCCCTTCTCAATGCTACCTGAACTTAGGAACCTGGGATCTTTCCATCTGGCCCCGGGGAGGATGAGTCCCTCACAAGAAACCAGCCGAAGTGGACAGCAGACACCCTCTATTCCTACTCACCCAGAAGGCGGCCTAGGGACACAGTAACAAATGGGGCTCCCCTTCCCTAAGGAAACCACCCCAGGGACTTTCTAGGAAAGCTGGAAATAAAGTGGGAAAGTGTTAACTGTGAATTGTGCATCAACTCAGCCTTTCACATTGGGAATGAAATACTGAGCAAATCTCACCAGGTCAGGGCAAGGAACCAGGTCGGTTGTGGTAGGAGAACTCCAGCTGCAGCTGAACTCTGGTGAACAGCGTGCTCAGCGGGGCGCTGGGCCTGCCCCAGTTCTGGCACTGGTCCAGAGGGCAACCCTCCCAGCCTTAGCTTGGGAACCACGGTGCAGGCAGGCCCAGCCCCACAAAGGAGCGGGGCTGGCGGCTCACCCAGCATCCTGTTTGCCAGAGGCGAACATCTTCTCTGTGGGTTATTTTTGTCTCTGGCCTTGGCTTGTTTTTTCCCAGTATTGCTCCTTGGCTGGTAACATTTCTTCCCTGGTTTATTAAATATGAGATAAATCACCTAATAAATCTTTTAGGTTTTTTCCTTCAGACCTCTTCAACAATGGCCAAAGTCACCATGTTGCCTCTTTCCCACAGCAAGGGGCTAACAAAATAACTGGTGGGTTCAGGAAAACAAAGAGAAAATCGTTAATTATTCAGCAGCCTCCCACTTCTTGTACTAAATTGACTTGCCTTGGTTTGATTTAAAGAGGCAGAACAACACCTGAGCAGCCAGCGGGCTGCAACTCCAGCCATGGGCATACAAGGGAGGTTTGCCTCCCTTTGCAGGGTGAAGACATGCATTATCAAGTCTTCTTTGTTGATTGGACAATTATTGGGAGCAACATTCCCATGTAATTTTTAAAGCTTCCTCTCCACACATATATACACAAAACTCTGCACCCAGTTCTCCTTCAGTTTCTTAAAATTATTGAATTACAGAATTCTGGCATGTGAAAGGAACTCAGGCATCCTCTTATAGAATCCCTTATTTTCACAAATGCACAGGATTCTAAGGATATGAAAGGGTATCCAATCTGACACCAACTCTCCGCATCAGATGTCTTATAATTTACACAGGAATCGCCTTAGCACCCCAATAGTACTGTATACATACCTCCACCAGGGCTTTGCTCATTTAATGTAATTATTTATTTTAAATGTTTAAATTTTTTTTTATGTTTTGAAAAGGTAATATGTTAACAAGATTGGTAATTTTAAAAGTAAAATGAGCCTGGCCAGTGTGGCTCAGCGGATTGAGTGTCGTTCCCATGGACTGAGAGGTCCCGGTTTGATTCCTGGTCAGGGCACATGCCCAGGTTGCAGGCTTGATCCCCAGTAGGGGGTGTGCAGGACACAGCTGATCTATTTTTCTCTCTCACATCGATTTTTCTGTCTCTCTCCCCCTTCCTGTGTGTCTCTCTCTCTTTTCCTCGCTCTCTAAAAAATCAATAAAGACATATTTTTTTAAAAAGTAAAAAGAATACATCATCCTATCCTGTACATACCTAATTTACCTCCCCAGAGACAAGTAATGTAAACAATTTACTTAGTATCTTTTCTGAGATATTTCATGTATAGACACATAAGGCTATCTTCCCTCTTTTTTATAAAAATGCTTTCACGTTGGTCTGCATCTGCACCTTAATGTATTTTGTAGATCTTTCTTGTCTGGCTTTATTCTTTTATGCAGCTCCATGGTCTTTCACTATATGGATGTACCATAATGAGAGGACATTTTGGTTGCTTTCAGTTATTTTTATTACAAATAATAATCTTTAAAAAATTTTAAATATGTTTTTATTGATTTTTTTAGGGAGAGAGAGATAGAAATATCAATGTGAGAGAGAAACATCTATCGGTTGCCTCCTGAGTGCTCCCTACTGGGGATCAAGCCCACAACCCAGGCATGTGCCCTGACTGGGAATCGAACCTGGATCTCTCAGTCCATGGGATGACGGTCAATCTGCTGAGCCACACCAGCCAGGCACAAAGAATAATCTTATGTTCATGATACTTTGCACCATTATTTCCGTAGGATAAACTCTCTGTGTCCAAAGGCATATGCATTTGCAATTTTGATAAATACTGCCAAATGTCCTCCACTGACCGACAGCAGATGGTAGAACCTGTTCTCTAACAGCCCCACCAACAGTATGTCTTCAAATATGTTTTGACTGTTGCTGTGATTAGTCCCATCCCCTCATTAGATATGAGCCCATGAGGGTTTCTCAGAACCAGCACAACAGCTAGTACATAACAGATTCTCAATACACATTTGCTAGTGGTCCCTTTGGCAGCAGTACACTAAGATCGGAACGATACAGACAAGGTCAGCATGACCCCTGCGCAAGGATGACATGCAAAGTCGTGACGTGCTCCATGTTTTTCCAGAGTAGATTTTAAATGTCATGGGTGTGATCAGCACCTGTGAAAGAAAAAGGGCGGAAACAGGATGGAGCAGAGGGAGAGGGCAGTCTGCAGTGTCACCCCCACAAAAGCCTCCCCAGTTCTGCGGGCAGGTTCAGAGCTGGAACGGCCCTTCGCGCTGTCTCGTAGGGCTGAAGGCGCCAGGCTTTTGGCTTCTCGCAGCAATTAGGCGTTAGACACGGGCTGCCCCTGGGAAGGGGGTGCCCTCGGGCAAGGTGGCCCCTTTCAGTAGGGGTGATTCCAGCCGGAGGCCGTCTGCTAACAGCACTCCCAGCAGCTGAAGAAGCAAACCCCTCACCCCTGCGGGGAGAGCCTAGGCGTCTGAGAGGTGTTGCCAGAATGGGGGAGGGTTTTCTTCCCTGAACTTCCCTACTCTTTACTAGTGATGGACCATGGGTACCTGAAAGTGTACCCTGAAATGACAAGAACTGCATACCCCCCTCTCGCTCATTCTCAGGCTCCAGGTAGAGCACTGTCCTTGCTACCAATGCACAAGTGGCCTGCGCAGAGGTCAGTCATCAGGAACGGTGGACACGCTGCAGGCCATCAAGACCGAGCCCAGGCTGTGGCTGCCATGTTACTACGACGCCCAACGCGAGTGAACAACTCGGCCGTGCGGGAAACGGCCCACGTGGATGTTCACTCTCCCCATCGCAAGGTTCAGAGAGTAGGAGAGCCTGTCCCACTGTCCTTTGAGAGCTGGCCTATCTCAAAACAAAAACTCCTCTAAAATCAGGCTACCCAGCCTTGATGCTGGGCCAGACGTGACGGCCAAGCATGGAAGAACTCAACCACCGGAGAAGTACGGGGGAAACAAGTCTGGGGCTTGCACTTGGAAGTCCATCTTGCCACAGGATGGCTTTCAAATCATATGTTTGTTGTTGTTGCTGCTGTGACTGTTGTCATAACCAAGTTGTGATCTGGAGCTTTAAGATCCCCCCACGAACACCAGGAGAGGCCCAGAGGTCTGCCCAGGGTTCCTGTGAAAAGAGTTAACTGCTCAAAGTCGTCTCTTGTCCTCTATCCCTGGACGATCTCACAGCTTTTGACCACACCAATCCGCACATGACACTTAGCCCTCCTCCTCCAGACTTATAAACTTACAATGTCACACGGGCATTGTGGTTCCCTTCCTGGGAAGAAAATTAAGAAGGAGATTATAATTGTAGGGACCTACACCACTTGATTGAACCCTGTATTAGTGAGGTAGGGCTGCCATCACAAGGGACCACAGACCAGATGCCTTAAACAAGTGAAATGTACTCTTATAATTTTGGAGGCTACACGTCCAAGTTCAGGTTTCACCGGGGTTGGTTTCTGCTGAGGCCTTTCGCCTCGGCTTGCAGCTGGCCTCCTCGCTGTCTGTGTCCTGCCTCAGTCTGTGTCCTGATCTCTTCTTATAAGAACACCATTTACTGGACTAGGGTCCCTCTAACGTCTTTACCTTTTCCTAAACCCACAATGCGACGTGTGGTGCAGGGACGGCCACGGTGAGACAGTAGAAAGTGTGTTCAGGCTGACTGGGCAGTGAGTACAGACGGACTCACTTTCCTTCACCAAGAGCAATGGCTAATGGCCTGTCCCTTTGTGTCCTGGAGACACTGCAGAGCAGCCCTGTGACTTCTGTTGTTTTAGAAAATATGCTACCTCCATGTGCAACCACTAAACTGTTTTAACTGTAAATGTCATTGCTAAAGGCACACCTCTTGTCAAAGTCGAGGTGGTTGTTTTGTTTTGTTTTTTTATGTTGATGAATGAGATCTTACCTATTAAATATATTATCAAAAAAAATTAACATTTTAATACAGTTCCCACTTCAAAGGTTCTGTCTCCAAATACAGTCACATTCGGAGGTACTGGGTGCCTGGGCTTCCGCACTTGAATTTGGCAGGACAGGGTGGGGCACACAGTTCACCCACCTGCTCCACACCAGGGGCGGCTGCCTCGTCCACGCAGCCCTCCAGCCTGAACACATCTCACTCTTTTCCAGAGTCGCCAAACTTTGTCTGTAGAGGGCCAGACAGTCAGTATTTTACACTCCATTGCAACTCTTTAAGTCTGTCATTTAAGTATAAAAGGAGCCATAGACTGTATGTAAATAAATGGGTGCTCCTGGGCCCCAGTAAAACAATTCATGCACACCAAAATGCACATTTCATATAATGTACACAGGTCACAAAGTATTATTTTGATTTTTTTAACCATTTAAAATTTTAAAAACCGTGCTTGGCTCATGAGTCCTACAAAAACAGATGATGGGCCAGCATTTTGGGGGCCGGAGGGCTGTGACTGGACAATCCCTTGTCCGTTCTCTTGTCCGTCACCTCCCTCCCATTTACTGTCTCCTGTCCTGCCTCCCTCTCAGGACTCACCCGTTCCACTCCCCACCGGGCTCAGCCAGGCAGTTTCCAACACAAAGACAGTTTCCTTCCTCGGAATCCTAGTGCCATCTGTTAGATAATAAATTATTTAGGCCTAATACCCCATCTTGATTAAAAACATGTCTTTTTCTCACTGTTGTAGAACCAATAAGACTATGACTCACATCTGACAACTAAATAGCTCATTTCGTGCACTTTCATGGAGACCTTCCTTGTGTGTTTTCCGGGCGCCAAGCACCGCGCTGCGAACTCTGCAAAACCACTAAATTGCACAGAAACCCCATAAGAAAAATATTATTGCTGTCTCTCTTTTGCAGATAAGAAAACGAGGCTCATTAAAGTTGAGTAAATATCTCGAAGTCACACACCTAGTAAATGATGAGGGAAAATCTGAGACCTAGACCATTTGTCTCCAAATCCAGACTCTTAGCCAATAATGTTACACTGTTTCCAAATGTTAGATTTCCCCTCTGAGGACTGTGCTTCATGATATTGGAGTGTCAGAACATAAGAATTCTGTGGTAGAGACAGCCCATCTAATGTTCATTCTCCCCGTCTTCCTTACTAATACAACCCCAATTCTATTTATGGGTGACACTATGCCCAGCCAGAAGAACATTTGCCGGCCTCCCTTAACCAATGAGATGCAAGCAGAAGTCACCAAAGGGTGGTTTCTAAGTTCTTTAAAGAGAATGACAGTTGGTAAGTACCTTCTCCCACTCTCTCTGCCTGAGATACAGACATGATGGCTGGTGCCTTGGCAGCTATTTTGAGCTCCTATGAAAATAAAAAAAAGATCATATGATAAGAATGGACAGAGTAGATTTCTAGAAGCCTGTGTCTCTGTTCATGGAGCTACCACATCAGGCCTCAATTGCTCACCCCAGGATCTCTTTAGGTGAAAAAATTAAAACTTTTAATAATTATTTAAGCCATATAAAGGAAAAACCTACAGGGTTTTTTTCCCCTATGTCAGGAAAAACCCAGTTCTTCCTACTATGTCTTTCCTGTGTCTCTCCTTTACTACTCACTCAGCACACTTCACTTGTCACACTTCTGGTCACCAAACGTGTGCAAGTTTTCCCCACGACAAGCAATTCTCTGTGACACCAGCTACATGTTCTACAATTTAACACAACTCTAACTCTGTCTACCTGGACACAGCATCATACCCCACAGCTTAAGGGCTCACTCCCAAAAGACTGTTCCCACCGACTTCAGATGCCAATTGCAAGAAGTAGGTCCCCAAGTTACCCACAACTTCTGTCCAATTTGGCTACAAATCAGAGGTTGCCATGGCCTGCTCCTTGGGTTTAATTAATTTGCTAGAGTGGCTCACAAAACTGAAGGAAACACTTACTTGCATTTACCAGTTTATTTAAGGAGACCACAGATGAACAGTCCAATGAAAAGATACATAACATGATCTGAGCACAGGAGTTTGTCCCAGGGGAGCTGGGGAGGTGTTATCTTCCTGGTGTGGAAGTGTTTGCCAGCACAGAAGCTCCTAAACCCTGTACTTTTGGGGTCTTGCGAAACCTTGATCACATAGGCATAATCGATCATTAACTCCATTTTCAGTCTTTCTTCGTTCTCAAGAGAACGGGGCTGAAAATTCCAAGCTTTAACTATGGCTGGTCTTTCCAGTAACTGGCTCTCATCCAGGAACAACCCAGGAGGTCCACCCATAGTCACCTCATCAGAATAAAAGACACTCCTATCATCTATGAATGTACAAAGGTTTCATAACTGATGTCAGGAACCTGGGGCAGAAACTAAGACACATTTTCTGTTCTCTCACAGGCGCTATGTTTCAGGTCTCTCTTACTCATGGCCAAAATAAATTCCTACTTGATATAAGCCCTCTCTAACTCTGGCTCTCAATGCTACGCTTGGAGAACTTACCCTCTAGTGTCACTCCCTACTGGCCTTCTTGCTTAAGAAGAATTGGAGAGCCAAGCTGGCTGGCACTACCCCGTCCTATGCCCTGAAATGTGCCATGATGTAGACTCCTCAGCCCTGTCTGCCAGCCACGTATGGTCAGGTCTGTGGCCACTGGTTCCTGACCAGCACTGAGAATTTATTACCCAGTAATGACCTAGACACTGTCTCCAGACTCCTGGCTTCTCATCTGCTGGCGACTCATCTCCTGGCCCCTAGAGAGTGAAGCTAGGGTCAAAAGAGCCCAAAAGTTAGTGTGTGCCATGGCTCCCTTGCTCTTATAAGGTTCTTTAGAGTTTACAAAGCATGTTCACGAGAAATATTTCTTTTGATCGTCACAACAACTTTGGCCAATGAACAGGGATGGTATTGGCTTGGGTCCCCATGTTAGAGCTCAGGAAATTGGAACTTGGAGAGGCTGAGTTATTTTCTCAAGGCACAGAGCCAGGATACAAACTCAGCCCTTCGACTCCAAAATTTCCAAAATTTCCACTCTTTCCAATATGCCAGTGCTTCCAAAGGACTTCTTAGATTCACGAGAAGCCGGAGACACAGCTCAGTCCAGGCAAGCTCCTTTGAAGCAAATTTGACTGGCTACCCACTACCTGTCTCTACCCAATATCTGAACTACTCATCAT